GGGAGCGGGCTGCCCGAGGCGCCCGGCGGGGCGGCTGCGTTCCCCGCGCGGCCGGTTCGGCTCGGGCTCGGGCTCGGCCTCACGCGGCGCGCCTGGCATCTTTAAGGGCCGAGGACATGCGGAGCCGGCTGGGCCTCTTCCGGAGGAGAAGCGCGTCGCCGGACAGCGCCGTGAAGCCCCTCAGGTGAGCGGGGCTGCGGGCGGGGAAAGTCCAGCAGGGGCCCGTCTAGCGACGCGCTCTGTGCTTTATATCCTGCCATTTTCCTTTCAAGGAGCTTGAGGCAGCTTCCATGGTTCTCCCCCTCTCAGTCTTCTCACAACAACAGCCCCGTGAGGTAGGCTGGGCAGGCTGGGCTGGGAGACTGGGACTGGCCCAAAGCCAGCCAGTCCATTTCATGACCGAGCGGGGACTAGGCTCCGAACCTCCTGAGTCCCAGTCCCATGCTCTTTCCCACTACACCATGCCGACTCTTAAAAATCTCTGTTCAGATGAAGGGAGATTTTAACAATGTGGCTGGAAAGGAAAAGATCTATTCTTTCAAAGCAGTTAATAACCACTCTCCCCCTGCCCTATTTTCTGTTTCTCCCCAGGCCCTCCCCTGAAGAAGCCATCAAGTGGGGAGAGTCCCTGGAGAAGCTGCTCCAGCATAAATGTAAGGATACTTTTGCTGGTTTTGGCTTTGACACATCACTTATAAACAAGGGGTACAATGTTAGCATCCAAATTCCTAAAATGTCACTGAATTTCAAATACCTGCAGGATTTGCATTAAGCTGTTCTCCTCTTTCTTATTGATGAGCCTTTGAGCAAAGACTCATCTCTCACCGTCCTATGGTGATAAAAGCAGCCAAAGCATTAAGGTGGGAGTCAAAGAGCAATTCTCTCTACTTCTCCCCGCCCCTAACCCAGGGGGCACCCTCTGGCTCATGTCTGCCTGCTCTGTCAGGCAGCTGCTTGCAGGGTTGCCTGTCCCAGGTGTGCACCGGATGTCTTTGCTTAGTTATTTATCTTGTTTATTTAAAAGACTTAGATCCCATCTAATACCAATGGTCCCCGGAGGTGAACCTGCTCTTCCCAGGTGCTGTTCAGGTGCCAACAGCATCTCAGTCTTGCCTGGGCTGAGCTTCCGTTTGTTGGCCTTCATCCAGTCCATTGTTGCAGCCAGGCAATGGTTCAGCACATCCACGGTCTCGCTGCAGCTCACCTGAGCCACCCTTAAGAGTGCCATCTACAGGGCATGGAATGATTGCCCTCTTATTTTTCTCCCCATTCTGTCCAGTACCTGGTCTAAAGAGGTAAACTGCTTCTACAGGTGAAGGTTCCCATATTTCAGGCAGATCCTACCCTTCCTGCTCCAGGAGCTTTCCCCTCCCTTTCTGAAATTAGGGGTGACATAAAGCAGTAGGACTGTTCTAACACTGTTCCTGGCTAATGTGCCTCGGATTCTAAGGCTTCCTTTTTTCCTTCCCAGATGGCCTGGCTGCCTTCCGTGCCTTCCTGTGCACAGAGTTCAGCGAGGAGAACTTGGAGTTCTGGCTGGTGTGTGAGGACTACAAGAAGATCAAGTCCCAGTCCAAGATGGCCTCTAAAGCCAAGAAGATCTTCCTGGAATACATTGCGATCCAGGCGTGCAAAGAAGTGAGTGGCTACCTGGCTTCTAGCTGAGTCTTGTGGGGTCTGTCTGAGGCTGGGGCTCTTCAGTGTCCCGCCACCATGTTGACTTGCACCCAGCTGAGTTGTGGCAAAACTTTGGAACTTAACCTTTGAAAGTGAAACTTGAGCTTTTGTGCATGAAGGTTTGATTTAAAATCTTGAGTCCTTCTGATGAATCTTAAAGCCATGTCAAGACTTCCCAGATTAATACTTGCCCATTTAAAAAAAGAAAGCCTCTGTCTAGGCAGTTTTCATGAGTGGGTATATGGAGAGGAAAACATGCATCAAAACATCACTTGAAAGATCTGGGTTCTAATCCCCTTTCAGCCATTAAGTTTATGGGGTGACTTTGGGTTCTCAGTCTAGCCTACCTCACAGGGTGGTTGTGAGGATAAAATGGAGCGGAGAAGAATTTGGAACCTTTTAAGGAGCATTAGGTTCTTTGCAAGAGGAGGAAAGGTGGGGTATAAATGTAAACTGACCAGAGAGCTTTGGCTGTGGGGCGGTATAGAAATGCAATTAATAATTTTGCTCAGAGCTACACCTTACTGACCAGAGAAAACTCAGTCCTGCACTGGAGAGGGGCCAGGTTTGCTCCTACAGGGACACTGTTCCAGGGAGGGGTGTGTTGCATATGATCAACAGCCTGCGTAAGTGTGGGGACTGCTGAGATGCAGAGCAGTATCATTTCTCCAGAAGGTATTCACCAGGGATTGAAGAACTTGCCGAAGACTTAAGTCAGGACTTAAGGCATTGACCTGTGAATGGAGATCATCCAGCCTGCCTTCTGTTGAGCTTAAGCTGGTGGGGTCAGCCAAGTGTAGCCTTTTTAATGTCTCTTCTACTCATCCAGGTCAACCTGGACTCCTACACTCGGGAACACACCAAAGAGAACCTGCAGAATATCACCCAGAACTGCTTTGACCTTGCCCAGAGGCGGATCTATGGTCTGATGGAGAAGGATTCATATCCCCGCTTCCTGCGCTCAGACCTATACTTGAACCTCATTAACCAGAAAAAACTCAGTCCTCCGCTCTAGAGGGGAGCAGATTTGCTCCTCTGGGGATGCTGTCCTAGGGAGGTGTCTGTTTACACATGATCGATGGCCGATATAGGTGGGGGCACTGCTGAGATGCAGAACTGTCTCATTCCTCCAGAAGGTACCCACCAGGAACTGGAGAACTTAGCAGTTCAGTCCCAGTCCAAACCAGGAACCTGCTTGCTTCCTCCGGTACGACGATGTCCCAGTGACCAAGGGGCTGAGGGTTAGAGATCCTACCAGACCACTGTGAAATTCAGAGGTGTCTTGCTTGCTCTGGACATGGCAGGCTCAGAGGGGTCCTTTCCTAAACATGGAACTGGATTGGGCCAAGATGGTGCTGCAAACGAGGAGTGCGCAGACACTGCCACTCCTTCCAAGAGACAAGCACGAAAGGCCCGTGCTTTGGGGAACACGCAAGCACTCGGGGCGCCTGGCCTGCACAAAAGACCCTTCTTACCTGCTCTTGTCAGTAATGATTGCCCAGAGCTGCTGCTCCTCTCTGCTCATCAGGCTGTCATCTTTCTGTGTAGGATTATTTATTGAAATTTCTAGCCAGATGCTCAGTGGATTGCGCTCCATGAAAATCTCTCAACTTCCTATTGAGGGTTTTTTTTTTGTTTTGCTTTTTTAATTTAAGTGCAATATTATTACATATCCTCTCTCCCCCACCCACTTATTTCTGGGAACTTTCCTGTGAGATGAATGTGGGTATGTTCTGGTAGTGTCCAGCATCTGTTAGATCTGTTTTATTTCTTCTGTCCCAGCAGCAGGCAGCTGGGAGATTTATAAAAAGAGGGTGTAGTGCACCTCCATGGCAAACTTTGTATAGGTGAAAACCGGTTGTATGACTCAGAAGCTATCTTTGTACTGTCTGCAGTGCGGCAGGGTGCACCAGAGAGGGGTGCAAAGGAGTGTGAGCATCTGCGTGCGCCCCCTTGTTGATGTTTTGGCCCAAACACAGTTTTCCTCTTCCTCCCGCAAGGAGTCTGACCAACAGGCGTTTGACCAGCTGCCCAGTTTACAGCTCAAGCCCATCACTGTAGTCAGTCAGAAAACCCCACAGAGTTTCTTGATGTGGTCAGTTAATTAGGACCAATAAAGAGATGCTAGAACTTAGCTACTGCCTCCTTCCTGTTTTTCCGCTGCATTTAGCTCCCAAGGCAGTTCTGCCATGCCCTTGGATGACAACAGATGAGGAGCCTGAAGCACGAGATAATTTGGGTCAGAACCCTCGTTAGTAAGGAAGCCTGCACATGCCCAGAAAGCCCTGCCTGTCTTTTCTGGTCCAGCTGAGCGGGAGCCATGCATCGCTCTCCCAACAAGTGACAAAACGGCATGCTATGGTCAGGATGCCAGCCAGGCCCTGTCCCATGGCACTCCTCTGGCTCTCCCTCCCTGCGTCATCATTCAGAGGATGTACAACATTCTCAGTCCTTACAGGGCTTCTGAGGCTGGGCTGAGGACTTGTTTCCAAACCTCAGATGTAGCCTTGGCCCCCTGCCCTAAAACACACAACTACCTCTCTGCACATGCATGCGACTTTGTTCCGTCAGTTCTTTCTTTTAAACAATTAGGTTGCAATACATGGCCTTTTAAAAGCTCTACCTTGTATCTCCTGTCTTTTAGGATCAGCATAATCAGAATCATGTCTTGAACAGGGGGTTCTTTCTCTCCCCGCCCTGCACAGCAGATGCGACAAGCAGATGCTCTGAGCACTGAGTTTAAGAAGAGCCAGGTGTGGGGAGGGCTGCTCCGGTGTCAGGTATTGCTGGCGTGGGTGCCAGCCAGGACTGAGTGCCCGTCCCCGCTTCCCCTCTTTGCCTCAGCATCCCTTCAGGACTCTCTTGCTTCGGCACCTCAGCAAGTGGCGTCCAGCAAGAGAGGGAATATCCATACATATTGCCAAGCTGAGATCACTTTAGCAAGCTGCAAATTTGCTCTGGGAGGTGTTTCTGTGGTTTGTGTGCCCGAAAGGAAAGCACCTCTGCTTCCGAGAGGGCACAGGAGGAGGGAACCGGGCCAGATGCACTTTTTTAGAAGGGTAGAATGAGGCTTTTGAGGAAAGGGGGAGTCATGCCAGCGTTTTCATGCATTTGACTTCAGAGTTTCCTACCCTGGAATCATGTGGCGCTTCTCTTGAACTATAGTCAGAGCTATATAATCTTCTAATGTCCAGAAATAGGAAGGCAGGCGGAAGCCGCGGTGTTTCCTTCCAGGCTGCTGGCAAAGATGAACGTAGCAGAAGGAACTGAGCGGGGTTGACTCGGTGGGCCTTGGCCAGATCCAGCAGAGCTCTTCTTATGCTCTTCCTAGGTATAGTTTGTCATCTTGATATGTTATTATGTATTTTCTTTTTGTTGCCTTTGTCCCATTGACTTCAGGATGACTTTTAACATTGTCCTGTTATTTCAAAATAAAATAAAATTTCATGGAAAAGAATAATCCCAAAATTTACAAAGTAAAATACTTTTATTAGTCCAGCTCATAAAACATAAACACTGTTTTTGAGATCTTCTGATGTCTCCACTGGGCACTTCATTTATTGAATTTGCAGACTGTTCTTTCACGGACGGTGCCTCGACTTGGGGAGGCCTGGTCCTCTGGGCTCAGTGGGCCAAATTCATGGCCTTTGAATTCCAGTGCTGCGTCAAGGGTTGCCTCCAGCCTGGCTGCCCAAGGGGGTTCTTCCCCCTACAACCATCCTGGGGTGGGAGTCAGGCCAGAGAATGCTCTGCCTCTGACCAGGCCCTCGTAGCACCGGCAAGAGCAGCAGCCCCACTGGGGCCGCAAGAGTGACCAGGGGCCAGGTGGCTTCTGCTCTTTTGGGTGTCCTGCTTTTTGTATCCATATTTGGGGTTAGCCTGGGTGGCGGTGATGATCCACTCACCCTCCAGACCTTCGGAGATCAAGCCCCCCACCCTGATTCTGTGGGGTAACTGTCCGTCAGCACCCCGAGCCTGCCCTTCTGCACGCTCTGCTCTTGGTCTCCGAGGCCAGCAAACACTTGAGTCTGTTAGGGCGAACTCGAGAACTGAGCTTGCTCCTAAAAGCGCCCTTTTCTCCGAGGATGGTGGTTGTCAGATGATGTAGCTTGAGCACTCTGTGAAGGTGAAGGTGAAGGCATTTATGCTGCTGATGGTGGGTGTCCAGGTGTCAGGACGGAAAGTCCCTCGCCCCACAGGAGGATCACGGGATGTGATGGCGGGCCGGGCAGGCTGCTTCCTGAGGGCGGACTTCCACTGCTGTTCAGATTAGTGAGCTAGCACAGTCCACTTTCCTCTCAGGTGCTATATAACCGTCTTACACTGCACTATATAAATGGCGCTTTAGTGTTGCTTTTAATTCACATTTAAAGTTGTCAGTGGAAGTTTCTGTTCCGCTTGCTGTAGCTGAGTAATGCAGCTGCACCACGGGTTTGTTGCTATCTAAGCTAATTTTCTGTCATCTTGTTGTGATAGCTGCCGGGAGAGGTGCCATTTGCCCTCTGGTTTTTGGATGGCCAAAGAAGCTGCTTTAACGACAACGGAGAGTTCAAAAATACACTCCCTGCTGCAAGGGACGGAAACGCATGTATATCCCGAAGACCCATGGATGTGGTGGGTGTGCTGTCTCCCTGGAAGATAGATTAATGATGTACCTGGAGGATGGGCAGGGCTCATGTGTGTCATTTGAATTTGGGAATCTGCAGGAGATTTCCGCCATGTCGTGCTGCCTGGGCGTGTAGCAGAATTTACTAGTGGCTGGGCCAGCTTCCCTCCCGGCTCGCCCCTGGAAATGACACCAATTGCGCCTTCCTGAATGTGAATCCGAGCAAATGGTCCCCCCGTGCCACTTCTGTTTTGCAGGCATTGTGTGCAGAGGGAGTGGCAGTGGCAGCCGCTCACGTGGAGGCTTCCAAGCGGACGGGCAAGCCTTCCAGTGGACAGGACTCCCCCGGGGAGCTCTGTGGTTGGAGGCGGCCTCCTCCAAGTCCCAGGTGCCTGGGGTCAAGGAGCGGGGGTGGCCAGTTGTCTGCTGCCCTTGTCCGATGGGTTCCCAGAGGCCTCTGGTGGGCCGTTCCGCACATCGAGCTGCTGGCGTGGGTGGGTCCCTCTTGCTCCAGTCAGCCAGGTGGGCGGGCGAGTGGGGGACAGGTGGAGAAGCCAGACCTGACTGCCAAGCAAGGGACTCATCTTCCTCTTTGCCCCAGATCAGATCGCAAAGTGAAGCTTGACTGCCATCTTTCGGTCAGCAAGAGAACTGAAGCCGAACGAGAGCAAGGGGGCAGCTATGCATGGTCAGCTCGCCGTGGAGCAACATTCTTCTGTTTATTTGGTTGATTCATAGCCTTGCAAATGATAAACAGCAGCCTACATACATAAGAAAACATAGTGCATAAAAGAAGTGGAACATCACAGCAGTTAAAAAATGCTGGGTAATAAAATGGTGAATATGCACAGCAGCATTAAACATAAAATGCCATAAGTCTGTGAGTCAAAAGCCTCAGTAGCATCTGCTTGGCTCCTTGTTTTCTTTGTAGTCAAGATGGCGAGTCAGTGGTCCCCCCACCTGCTCTGCAGGGACACCTCAAGGTGCTGAGGGGGTCTGAGCGCCAGAGAAGCTGCAAGCAATGCAGCAGGAGTCCGACTCTTGCTAGCCTGGTCTGGCTGGCAGGGCCACCCAAGGTGGAAGGGTCAAAGCAGAGACACTCAACCCACAATCGCATCATCCTCTCGACTCATCCTTGCCTTGCAAATAGTGATTCTCATTGAATATGACGTAGTTGCGAGTGGGTACCGTCTTTAAGCAGGCTGCTGCTGGTGGGGCTGCATCAAAGGGCTTGCTTTCTAACAAGTGTGTTGAGGCCATGTGACCAGAGAGTGTGTGTATGTTTGTGTGCGTGCCCCTCTCTGTGCTGTGACTTAAAAGTGTTTTCTGATAATGCACAAACATCAAATGGGGAGTATGAATTGGTGTCACTGGGCTGACAAGTGTGGAACAGGCATAAAGGGAGAGCTGTCAATGAACAAATATGCATGGAACGAGACGGGACATTGCAGATCAAAGGGGTACGGATGTCTCAGATGACAGTCGTTCGGAATGGCGCTTCCTTAAAATTGTGTTTAAATGAGAAAATTGTGATTGTGGGAGAGGAGTGCAGCAACATGCGAAGCGATGGTTGGCTGGAGCAGACCAAGATGGGTGGCCAGGTGGTCCCACTTATTTTTATTCCCATGGTCCACTGATGTGTCCAAGATACAGAGCAAGGGTGCTTGCTTTAACTGTTCAGTTGCGACCGACTACAAGCGATCCCGTGGGCCAATCTCGCCACGCTTTCCATTCCCGTGCCACCTCTTTCAGCTGAACTATGCTCTGGCCCACGTCCTCTTTGAAGAAGTCCAACCACTTGCTCTTTGGCAACCTGGTTTTCTCTTGCCACCAAGCATTATATCTTTTTCTAATGAGCTTGATCGCATGACGTAGCCAAAATGCCTGAGTCTCAGCCCAGCAAGCTGGGAACTAGCAGCGCCTGGCTCTGAGGTGGAAGTTCTTTCAGGCCTCCTGGGAGATGGGGTTTTGCCGTGACACCTGTGGAGCCAACAAGCCTGCAGAGCAAGTCATTCACAAAAGCGAAGGGCACTGGTCGCAGGAGTGAGCTCTGTGGTGCCCCACCTGTTCCTAGGCTGAGAAGGTGCCACTGATTGTACTCTTTGAGTCCTGTACTGTGGCCAACTGTAGTCCCAAGGGAACTGTAGTCCAAGAGGAGCAAAACAGAAAACTTTATGGTCCAAAATAAACCAGGGCAGATTTTTCTGGAACATGGTAAGAACCTCGATATTGGTGTATTTTTGGTAGCAAGCCTACTCACAAGGAGTTTAAAGCAGTGGAAGCCACTCTTTTCTTGTAAATAGTGGAACACACAAGAACTAATAATGAACTCTGAGGTGCCGTGCACCAGAGGAGAGCTTCTCGTTTCCAGCAAAGGTGAGACTTTTTTTCTAAGACGCTGAGAAAAATGACACTCCAAGGTGCCCAAATTAGAATAATTTAATGTGGGCTTAATCTAAATAAGAATTCAAGCGCTGACTTGTCCTCACTGCCTCCCTGCTGAATTGAGCCAACCGAGTACACGTTGCAGGTATTTTGTGGGGCGGTAACTAGGTCAGTTATTTTGGTTGCTCATTATTACTTGTGAAAAACGTTTGCAGCACTGTCGGCAGCAACACACAGCACTGGCTTGGCTCGGGCGGCTACATCTTTGCTGCAGGTGCGTCAAAATGACCTTCATTCTCTGAATGGACCGTTTTTTGGAAGTCTGGTGTCTTTGGATATGCTGTTTTGGAATTCGATTTCTGGAGTGTGAAAATCTTCCTCTACCAATTCTCAGTCACTGTTCTTCACAGCAGAGCCAAGATTGTCTTGTGCGTGGCTTTAAGTCAGCAACAGAAATGTGGGTTTGTGATGCCTGGACCACAGGCAAGCTGCAGAGCTAGCAGATGGAGAACGTATGAGGCAGGTTCTCCCCCTCAGCATGGAAATGCGAGCAGAGGGCAGCGGTCACTGAATTTTCAGGGCAGAAGGACTGAGGACTAAGACCGCCACACCTTGGTTAAATGTGGACCCACACTTCTAAAAACTGAATAGACATTTCTCAGTTATGATCACTTTATGAGATTTACCTTTAATTAAAACTTAAGTTAGCTACATTTGCCACCTTCTTGTTTTCTTACAGTTTTGTACGATGCCGTTAATTAATTTCTCAAATGCGGTGTGTTCATTTTCAGTTGCTCCTTGTGATTATGCTCATTCTTGTTCTTTCCTTTATGTACACATTAGTTCATCATCTGCATGATTGGGCAGATGGAAACTTCTTTTAGAAGTCTTCAGTGGCAATGGAGAAAAGGTACAATTGTACATAGCAGGAACCAGGGATGAATTCTCCCTTGGTTTATTCCGGGAAATGGGGTGCCCAGATCAGGCTGAAGGGGCAACTAGGCTGGAGGGGCGAGTATTTTGAGAAACACTCCTGCTGGGGAGGTTTGTGGAGAACCCAGGAGGCAGGTAAAGGGGAAGCGCTGCGTAAGTGGGAGCTCAGTCCAGCACCCGAGAGCAGCCGTGGCTGATGTGGACTGTTGCCCACAATTGCCCAGCCTGGGCGATGGAGCCCATGAGCTGTGGGGGGCGGAGCGCAGGCTCTCCCACCCTGGAGGCATTCAGAGGGGGGCTGCCCGAATCCTTTTACTGGAGCCCTCCATAGAGAACTGGGTTGGACCCAGTGCCCTTCCAGGCCCCTTCCAACTCTACTGCCCTGTGACCCTACGGAAAGAAACCTCCCTCACCCCGCTGATTATGCGAGAGCCTCGCATACTATTTCCTTGTCTCTCACCATGCGCTGGACACTGGCAAAGGCTCTTGGGAATCCATCTGTGGGTGCTTTTCCATGGGTCTGCTTGTCACAGCAGCTGGCCCAACTGGATCTCCGCATCCCATGCTTGGTCCGTCTTGTCTCGGCTGAAATTTCACGCAGTACATCCCTGTCCGTGTTGCCTTTGTAGGGAGTCCCGTCAGTCTTGGGCCATTGCTTTTAGAGGGCCTGGAATTGCCTTTTGTGTCGAGGAATCGCAGGCCTGATGTACTGCTACACTTACTCTGGAGTTCATTCCCAGCTGGTGACAAATCTGCTTTTAAATATTCAAGGGAAATGTGATTTCCTTTTTGTGGTTTTTAGTGTGACTGATCCCTGCTGCCATTTTTAATGTGGCAATGGTTTTGCTTTGTTAAATATTAGCACTGATCATTTGTGATTCGTTTCTTTTTAAAAATACGTTGTAGTGAGCCATGATAGAGAGAGATGCTTCCATAATTTCAGCTTTAGATTTTAAAACTGGGTAGGAGGGATCAATTAACCAACCAAGAAGTCCCAGATGTTAACACTGAATTGATTTTTAAGCAAGAAGATTTATAATTAACTTGTTAAATGCAACCGTTTCTATGCGCTCTTTCTCTCCCACTTTTCCCCGTTTACCATAAATTCCAGTAGTAACCATATACTTGGAAACACTCCAGAACAGACAAGCAAGACAAATTCTAAACTTAAAATGCTTCAAGTACGAGAAATTTGCTTGAGAGTTTCTTATGCAAATGTCTGTTCAGAACAACCCTGGCATATAACAGAAGGAACGAAGCACGCCAGGAGGAATTCTCCTTCTGGAATTTCTCCATCTTTCCCCTTCCCCCTAGGCTGTGAGCTTACCGTACTTCTGCAGCCTATTTATAGATCTAGTGGCAAGGATTCTTTTCTGCGAGCCTCAGCAAAAGGCCAGCAGCCCCCCCCCCCCGCCCCGTTCCAGAGTGACCTCTGCACTTGCGCGGCTGCCAGATGCTCCCACCCACTCCAGAGAAGGCCTGGCTGCATTCTCTGGCACCTGCGGCTCATGTTATCAACCTGCTTTTGATACCTGCCCCACCTTTGTGCGAAATTGTTTGGCAAACCAAGATGGGCTTCCTCTGGAATTGTAACTGGGCTATTTTAGGGGAGGCCGAGACCATCCGTATTCGAGGCGGGGCGCTGGGGAGAGCTTTGCCACCACCCGGCAGAAACAGGAGGACAAAGGGGTGGGTCCCAGATCAAATCAAGCCTGAGCTTTCTTTAGAAGCAAAAATGATCACACCGAATCTGCCATGCTTTGGACACATCATGGGAAGGCAAAACTCCCTGGAGAAGACAATCGTGCTACAGAAAGTTGGGGGCAGAAGGAGAAAAGGAAGGCCAGCTAGGAAATGGATTGGCTCCGTCAGGGAAGCCCAGGCTTGGATTTACTGGGGCTGCCATGGAGAGGACATGGGGTGGGGGGCTTTCTTCCATAGGCCGCTGTCAGCTGGAGATGGCTGGAGCACATGTAACGGCAACAGATGTGATGGGAACGGGTGGAGAGCAAAAGTGGCATCTCTGCACCCCCACGGGATGGGTCGGGGGATGCCGTGTCAGTACCACAAGTGGGCTGGCAAGCAGCTCCTGGTCCCGATGGCCGCTTGGGCCCACCACGATGGGAGCTGCTTAGTCCGCCAGGGAAGGCCAGCTTCTGGGGCAGGATCAGAAGGGGAGGAGGAAGGCCACCGACTCCCTTGGAAATCAGACTCCAGGCTGCCTCTGGCTGAGACAGTAGCTGCTTCTGTTCTCTTGGCGGCTCTTGCTTCTCTTTGGTAGCATTTCTTGTTTTTGTATGTTAATTATCACAGTTCAGAAAATAGAAACACCGCATATTTGAAATCATTTTTAAGAAATTATAGGCGCCCTTAAAGCCTCAGCTTGCACTGCAGGCAGTGCATAACAGAGTCCATGGAGAAGGGGGCGGATTTAAATCTGCCTCACCCACTCCCTTGCCTGAGTTCCCCTCCTCCCCAGAATGGCCCACACTGCAGTCCGTCTCATTGGACGGATGATGTGCAGCCGAGGACCCCCTCAGCGCGGGGCCGGTCAGGGCAGCGGCCGAGGGACCGAGATACCGAGCTAGAAAGCAGCTTCTGGGGTGACTGGTCTGGGCATCCGCAGGTCTCTCCGGATAAACCAAACATTGCCATAGCAAGTTATATACATTGAGTGACAACCATAATGTATTTAGGTTATATATAATAGATGCATGCATACATACCTAAGCATATATAAACACTTAAACACTTGCAAGACACATTCGCAAACCAGCACAATATGCAAATGTGAAAATCACAGACTGTCAGAAGTCAAGGCAGGTGTCTGAAGGTATTAGTACATGGCTTTAATACATATTTTATTAGTGACAATTTCAGAAATGCTGTCTTTGAAAACATAGAAATACTGCCTCTGGAGAACCAAAATATTTAATCTTTCTGGGAATGCTGTAAAGTGAATCATCCACCCCCCCAACACACACACACAATGCAGCAGGAATCGTGTGCACGCATGTGTGTGCTGCCAGCATTGCTTGTTCTTGAAGACAGTTGAGTGAAGCTGCGATGTTGCAAGCACCCGGCCTTGAGTGTCCGCAGCTGGTGCTGTTTCTGAAGGGACCTGTTTGCGCGCTGACACTGGCTGAGATGGACCAGCCCGAATCTGATCCGTTTGCAGACTCGGTTGTTGCTAGCTCTGCACACCTTTGGAAGGAACTGTCCTCTCCTCGCCCTCCTTGTCCCGACACGCTTGAGGGTCCAAGCAAGAGGATGGGTGGCCCACGGAGCAAGCCACGGCCTGTTTCTGCCTCTATAGCAGCAACTCCTTCGGCAGGAGCAATCGGATGCTTCTCGCAGGGACGCTGCATTAGTGGAATCGCTGGGCATAGAAGACACAGCTGTAGCATGCAAGCTGGATTTCCCGGAGGTACCAAAAGGTGCTCTGCTCTAACCCATGCCCAGAAGGCTGGGATTCTTGGCCAGCACATCCTGCAGATTTTAACGAAGTGGAGAGCCTGTTTGCTGGGGAGCTGCAGAAGATGCTCACAGGCCGCAGAACCACTGGCGTGGGTGGTCATGAGCAGGAGACAGCCCAGGCCTTGATACTGGGTGAAGCCCTGCCTCCTTGATTCCCACTGAAGCTGGCTGAATTTCCTCCCCACACTGCTTGCCAGAGACAGTGGCCCCCTTGCCCTCCCGTAATTCCAGCAGGGCCATTCTGGACCCCAGCCGGGCTCCTTGGCCCCGGCCTCTTGTGGCAGGAGTGGGCCTGGAAGCCAGCTTGGAATATGTCTACATTTATCACCCATTTCTTTCATCGACCCATGAACCGAAACAATTTTTTGAAAACCCCAACACAGCATCTTCCATCCAGAATAATGAAATCCTCATTATTACTTTCTCTCTGTGGATGGGTGGGGGTGGGGATTAAAAATGCAGACTCTACATAGAGCAGTTTATGTATATTTTATTGTCTAATTGGGATTGTGGATCTCTGGGAATGTTGGGTGGGGGGTGACAGGTTTTTCATGTGACAAAGACACTCGCATCACACAGTCCGACCCTTCCCAGTGTGCAGAATGTGTGATGTTTGTGGCATCCTGGCACCCAGCTCTCTCTGGCTGGGGAAGGGCAGGGGCGCTCCAGAAGGCGCAGGGGACCCAAAACGCCTGTGCGAGTTCCAGGAGGCCACCGTCCTTTGCCTGGGAAGTCCACTTGGTTTTCAGTGAATTCTGGAGGGCGACTGCTCTGCTGGGGCAGAAGAGCAACCCAGGAGGTATGCAGGAAGATGCACGGCTGCGCTGCAGGAGCTGGAGCCGGAACCAAGGTCTTCCCGTGCCCCATCAGAAGCCACACCCCTGGGTGATCTGGGCATTTACGGAAACTTTGCGCTGGAACAGAGATCTTCTCTGGCTTAAAATCAGCCAGAGGAGCTGTAGAAAAGCTGGCCAAAGGGTTCTGATTTAAAATTTCCACTTGAGCAAGGTTTTGTCTCTCTTCTTCCCCTACTCCCCAGCAGCAGCTCACATTTTTAAAAGTCCATAAAATGACAGCCTGCCACTGAAGAGAAACAAGTACAGCGCAAAAAGCAGCAGGAAAACAAAAACAGAGCCAGGGCTAAACAGAAATAAGTATGCACAGGTAAAGCTTTGCTGGAAAAGGACCGGAAGTTTCTCGACACACACGCATTTCCTGTGGCAGATAAATTACAGGCAGGGTAGAAAGCCCTTGGAAGGGACTCCTGCTTTATGGGCAGAGGCATTTGGCTGCCTGAGGCAGA